AAAGGTGATCGCGGGGCCCCGGCCTGACGCCAGCCTGCCACCACCCCTTTAGTACTGGTTCGTGGCACGAACCGGTACTAAAGGTTAAAACCGAACCAGCATTAATGCATAGCCGTTCGAACCGGCACTAATGATACCATTAGTACCGGGCCAAAATCAAACCGACACTAATGTGTCTCACATTAGGTCCTTTTTCTACTAGTGCCCACCCTCCATACTAGACCATAAAGAGAGTGCATCACGCCTAGCCGAGGCATGGACGACCTAATCAGTTCTGTTTCATTGTTTCATTTATAGACTGCAGGGCCTGATTAACTTTCTTTGCACCACCTACACCGGCGCGCGAGCAACGGATACACTCATACACCGTGTAACAGTGGCCTAGCAAGGAGTCGTGACGTATATGCTATAAATTTGTCATACATGACTTAACATGTAAGCTCCAAATTGTGCACATCCTTACGAAGTTTTTTTAAAACAACGATTTTAAAGGTTAATTGCCTAACATAGTTGAAAACGTACACAAAATGATAAAAAAATATACTGTAGTAAATATGAAAAGTGACAACCACCCCTCGGTTTTGTCAATGCTGCAAAATACTATATATTCATATACCATGTTATTTTATGCCTACATGTTGTAATACTGTGATTTTTAAAATACCGCACACCCGATTGTTTTTTGTACAAAGAATACCTTAGTATTGTGTATTGTGGCATTCCTAAAACTGTGTTTGTTAGAATATTAAAAATTCAATTCCAGACCTCTTTTTCAAAAAGTTGAGAAGACAACGTTTATTGCTCTCTCCCGTTCCATTATGTCCGGTCAACTGATTACATATGAAGAGCTGAAATATTCTTCTACGTTGCTTACAATTGTGTGCACAGTATACCAAGAATACGTAGGTCGGTTAACTGACATTACACATTAAGGAGTGGAAATATTCTTCTATGTTGCTTTGAACTGCGTACCATAGCAAGAGTATGTTAGTGACATCATATATGAAGAGTGGAAGTATTCTTTTACATTGTTTAATAAATGTGTACAATACCAATATATGTACTTCAGTCAACTAGCATTGCACATGAAGGAGGAGAAGTATTGAGTGCATCGTTTTATTTTGAAAAATATCTGAATACAATTAAAAGTTCCAAAATTGTCAAAAACTTTGCAAGTGCAAATATACATGTTCTCTAAGTATCTACAAAGTATCTTCAATGATGCATTTATTTGCAAGCTACATAAAAAAAGATAAAACATTTGGCCCAAATACAACAAATGAAAAGCTCTTTTTATCTATGCAATTTTTCGTGCACATCACATATGAACATATATATATTCATGAAATTCCGCACTATTCGTCACCTTGGTAAGGAATAGTTATTCTTCACCCCTCTTTTATTATATCACAACACCACATTTACTTCTCATAAATTTTCCCTATGTCAAGTGAAAGAGAAGGTAAGAAAATATATGTCGGTCGGAAAATATATTTACGTGATGTAAAACTACGAACATAAAAATATAGAATAAAATATACACAGAAATGTAAAGCCTGCATTGATTAAATAATCCTGCATATTTGATTTACTCAAGCTTTTCATATTTCGAAGTGTTGAGAGCAAAGTATGAGGAGCTATGCTATTCATATATATGGGTTCTAAACAATGTTTTATCTACTACTCCCCCCGTTCCCAAATATTTGTGTTTCTTGAGATTTTAACAAGTGACTACATACGCATCAAAATGAGTGAATCTACACTCTAAAATGTGTCTACATAGATCCGTATGTTGTAGTTCATTTGAAATGTCAGAAAGACAAATATTTGGGAATAGAGGGAGTAGCTCACTCTGGAGACAGTTAGCTAAAATCAGGGAAGTAGTTAGAGCAAGTACAATAAGATGATGCAAGCGGGCTGTAAGACTTTGAATAATATATTTTTATTGAGTTGAAAGAAAGAGAAGATCAGAGAGAAGAGAAGCAGACTACTAATTAACAGTCCGCTACAACACGTGCTTCTAGATATGTTGTGAGAGAGTGAGGTGGGTCATGTATTAACATAATATTACATATTTATATACAACTATTGTACTTGCTGACTATAAGCTTAGCTATAAAATAACGTGGCAACATCAAAATATATAAGCTTAGCAATATATTTTTTTCGTTTTTCCTTCTGTTTTTTTGTTATTCTTTTCTCTCTCTTTTTCAAATTCGTAAACCTTTTTAAAAATTCATATTTTTTATAATCCAAAACTAAAATTTACATTTATAAAGTTTCTTTGAAATGATGAATAATTTTATAAAATGTTCATATTTTTCGGAAAAATCATCGAATTCAAACTTTAGTCAAATCTTCATCCATTCAAAAAAATGTTGATGAATTAAATTTTGATCATCAAATTCAAAAACAATTCACAGATTTCGAAATTTGTTCATAAAATAGAAAAAATTATCAATATTAAAAATTATTCATCAAAATTCAAAAAGAAATCACAGAAAAAAATATGCTCATCAATATTTATAGCCTGGTAGGCGTTGTGAGCCGAAAACCAGACCTACATAGATGCTTGATGATGTGGCGTGTCGGTTGAAAGCATTCCCTTTCCCCATGCCAACCCGGATGCAGACCGACGCACCCCACCGCTATTGCCGGGGAAGAAAGCCAAATACGCGCCATTGGCCACCAACCTTATACCAGAACCAATCTGACCATTCGCCGGCGCCGCCAAGAAAGGCAACAACCGTCAGACTGAGAGAACGTAAGACCTACCGCTCCGAATGAACGACAAGCAGACAAGGCCATCGGTTCAACAACTCAACCAAGGAGAACGTCGCCGTGGTGAGAAAGAGACCGTGGCCACCTCATTGGACGCAACATCAATCTCATCTCATCAATCTCACCGTGGCCAAGGAGTAGCGCTATTAGAGCATCTCCAACAGCCGCCCCAAAAGGCGCGCATGCGGGGTAAACCGAGTTTTTTGCGCGCGCGGGACGTTTCGGCGTGCTCCAGCGGTGGCGGGAAACTCGTGTGGCGGGAACCGTTTGCACGCGCGTGGAAAAAGGTGGCAGCTCGCGCGCTAATTTTGGCGCACCGCTTCCGGCGCGCTTTTAAATTGCGGCGCTCGCCACGCGCCTATTCCACACACTTCTCTTCCTCTTTCCGCTGCCACGTGCGCCTCCACTGCTTCCTCGTTGCTTCCGCTGCCACGCGCGCCCCCACCGCTCCAGCGCCCCGCCACCGACGCGCCATCATGCCGCCGCGCCGCCGAGGAGCGTCGGGCTACCGCGGCGTCCGCCAGCGCCCCAACGGCGGTTTCTACTCCAAGATATGGCCCGGCGAACTTCGGCTCGGCCTCGGCACCTTCGGGACGGCGCGCGAGGCCGCCCGCGCGTACGACCCGGCGGCGTGGCGCCTAGGCTGACCGCGCGCGCAGATGAACTTCCAGGACGTCTACACGCTCCAGCAGGCGCTGGACCGTGCCCCGTCTCCTCGTCTTAACACGGCAGAAGACCGTGCGGAGCCCACCGAGCGACAGCGCCGCCTCCTCGTCGCCCAGGAGGACGAGCGAGTCATGGCGGAGTGGCGCCGGTGCCACCCGGAGGACGTCACCTACGAGCAAACCTACTGGGCAAGGCGCCACGAGGAGGAGATGCAAAGGCGCCGTGACCAGCGGTTGGACAGGCGTCGGCGGAAGGCCCTGGCGATATCGCAGTGCGAAATTGTTCAGAATGATGGGCAGACGATCTTTACGCCTGACGATGATCGTTGGACGGACATATGACTCGATACCTCGGACGAGACCAGCGAGGATGGCGATGATGATGATGGTGACGATGACTGGGAGTAGGTTGTAGTTGCACTATCTAGTAGTTTTATCTATCTATCCTATGGAACTATGTAAAATATCTATGTATCGTTTTTTTATCTATGAATTTTATTTCAGTTTTATTTAAAAATGTACGCAATGTATAGCGCGTGCTGCCTTTTTGCGACCCGCTGGAGCTATGCGCGCGCGTTCAATTTTCACGCCGCTGCTAGAGCCAGCGCTGCCGGCCGCGCCAAACCAAGCGAATGACGCGCGGTAAATGAGTTTTTAGCGCGTGGCGCGTTGCGCGGCTGTTGGAGATGCTCTTAGACGATGATGAAACCCTGTGAGAGTCTCCTGCTCTAACACACGGGATACGAGGGAATCCGAGGCAAGCAAACAGCTCGAATATATAGCGAGCTGGCCCAGCTCAAAATCGCCATTTATTTTCCGGAACAAGTGATCCTTTTATTTATTACGGTTACAAATAACTCGTATTTTTGTGTACTTGTGTGGTACGTGCTTCAATTCCGTGCTCTGTCTCAAGAGGGCGTGTACGTGTGACATTCAATCACCATGCGCGCCTACGGATCTCGTCCATGGCGTCAAGATGGCAGCTCGTTGACGGCACACTGCTGCGCGGCGCCTTCTCCACCTCGCAGCAGTGGCATGGCGGGCTCACCACCGGTGGCACGAGCTCGAGGTAACCCTTACGTGCGACAATGACGGAGTAGACCATCTCGGCATTATCGGGATGGTGCACGGCCAACACCTGGAACCCGCCCCGCCTGACCTCCGCGGGCTCCACGACGGGGCACAGGAAGCCGCGGGCCCCGTGCGCGCTCCGCGCGACGAGGGCGGCGCCGGCGGCCATGTGCCGGCCGAGGTGCGCTATCACGCGGGCTTTCTCCTCCGGCGCCACGCCGACGGGCGCCGCCAGGAAGACCACGTCGTAGGCGGCGAGCTCGTGCGTGAGGCCCTCGACGTCCGCCGTGCGGAACGACATGCGCGCGGCCACGTTGCCGGCGTCGTTCCCGCGGAGCAGCAGCCTCCGCGCGCGGTCGTTGGCGGCGGCGCACCGGTCGAAGCAGTCGACGGCGGCGTCGGGCATGTGGCGCGCGGCGAGCAGGAGCGCGCTGAGAGGGAGGGATCCCGAGCCGAGGAACGCGACGCGCGCGGGTACGGCGAGGTGGTCCAGCGCGTGGCGGGACAGCAGCGCGTGCTCCAGCTCGCCGAGGCGGACGTAGTTGTCGTGGTAGGGGAAGATCCTGAGGTGGTCGAGCGGGGCGTCGAGGGCGGCGAGCGCGTCGGAGCAGCGCGCCTCGAGGCGCGCCTCGGCGTCGGCGCAGAGGCGGACGAGGTCGGCCCGCATCCTCCGTGCCCTCGGGCCCAGCGCGGCCACGTCAACGGCGGCGCTCGGCGGGGCGCACACGGCCACCAGGGCGGTGAAGAGCGCGTCCGCCTCGGGAGACGGGCTCAGGGACGGCAGCTTGGAGATGGCGGCGTGGAGGCCGGCGATCTTCTTCACCAGTGCAGCCGCCTCCTTGTTCTCGCAGCCCATCTGATCACGTACGAGGCAACAGGTAGCTGCTGATGTGTGGAGGTCCGAAAAATGGCAGGTCTGATGAGCTCTGGACTTGACCGGTGACGGAAGTGTCGTATATAAGCTGGGTCGCGCTGCAGCTCGATCGTGGCTCGCTTCACGCGTGCCATGCCAAGGCCAGTTTCATGCATGCCTGTGTTACGTCTGGTGCCTTAGCTACGTTGGCTACGTACGTATCAGTGCAAAATTATAGTGGTTCTTTTGAGCCCTCATGTGTGAAAGTTGAGTTTATTATTTCTGCAGAGATATTGCATCTAACCAGCGAAAAATATATATTAACATGCTATAACATCGCCAGTAGCACGCTATAGCGTTTTGAGCAATGCCTCGCTAAATAAAATCAATATATGATGTCTCGCTAATAACACCCTATAGCGCATTATAGAACCCCGCAAATTTCCCAAAGTTCATCCTCTGAATTCTTTTGTGCTTTACTGAATCCGAGCGACAGTCCCTCACGATAGTTCAGGGTTAACAGGAGACTTCCCCCACGCCGGGAATAAAACCGAACCTACCAATTCATGTTCGGTTAGTTGAAGTGAAAACCGAATTTTTCCGCACCAGTAGAAAAAAACAAAAATTTGGTTTATTCGGTTTCGGCATCGGTTCGGTTCATCGGTTTTTATGCCCACCCCTACCACGCCCCGTCCAGTCCCAGGGACTGCCTCGCTCCTTGCCACTTGTCTCCGCGACATAACCCGAGGCCATCGCTCTTCCTCAATCCCCTGCTTGGCCTTGAGACTATCTTAAATCATACATTAAAACAACAATTTCTTGCTCTCCTTTTTGTTCAAATGGCTGAAAGAACAATTACATGTCGCATGAATATGTGATGGGAGATGAATTTTCTATAAAGCAGATGTTTATAGCTTCCGGGTTTCTAATTGGAGATCATAAGTGGAGAAAAGATCAGATCATCGCAAGTCACCAACTTCTCCAACCTTATAAACTATGTAGCAACTTGATCGGTGATTCTATTGGCTCAAGCTTGGTAACTTCGATGAGCTGATAAAGTGTTCATGCGACAATTCACTTTGTGATTTAGCATCGGTGGTCCACAAAATTTCACCAGTCCGATAAAATATAGCAACTTGATCGGTGATTATATTGGCTCAAGCTTGGGAGCTTTGGGAAGATGGAAGACAACAAAAATTTTGGGCCATTTGTTATAATATCTGTAATATAAGACCAAGTTATCTTCGAGATCTATGTGAATTATCTTTATCATGGGATCCTATGAGAATATGACCGGGGTTGGGGGTGGGGGCTTGCCCCCCTCCTCTCAAAAGCATGCACTGGATTATACATTCAATTATGTCAATCCCAGTTTAGCACATATGTCTATGCATGGCTCTCTGTTAATAAAATATACCTAGGGTCAGGCCATAGAGGTAGGTGTAGGACACATGAGCATTTGAAGGCTTTCCATCAAGCCCAGAAACTTCAGTATGCTAGCTTGTGAGCCAGACACATTTTTACTGCTCTAGAGTCAGAGGTGGAAGGGAGTTTGGGGGAGGAGTGGAGGTCTCCCAAACACGCTCTTAGTGTAAAGGCCCCGCTAGGCTATGGGTATTATTATACAGTGAATTTGTTTCAAAATAGTTTTACCTAGAATTTGAACTTTTTAAGTATAAAGGTGCAACATTTAGATCTCATCAAAATGCATGAATAAACTGAATAATAAACTTTTGGCATGTTAGTTTTCTAGCACAATTAATGCAATTTCAGTGATCACATCTTTTGCAAAGTTATAGCAATTACATTTTATTTAATGTATTAATATAATAATTATTTTGATTTTAATAAAACTAGCAAGTCTTTTCGCAAAAGGAGGTATTTTCACCAAGGGACGTGTTGCTTCTACGAAGAGACGACTTTTTCATCGAGGGATGTGTTGTTTGTATGAAGACATGTCTTTTTCCAAGGGGTGTATGTTTTCCCACAGAGACATTCTTTCACCAAACGATATGTCCTTTTACTGAAGGACATGACTGTTCATAGGTCAAACTAATAAGATTTAATGGACTTGATTGAATTTTGATACAATCATATAACCAGTTATTTAGAGTGACGTGACTTAACGCAGATATCGTATTAGGAGTTTGTTTTAGAATAAAAAGTAGGAATTGATTTGGATTGTACATTGAATACCCCAAGCATACTTAATTTACTCTCAACCTTTTCTTATTATGAATAGTGTTTAGAGCATACATTTTTCTCAATTTGTTTCAGGATTCCTGGCGCATAAGTGCTCGGTCAAGAGTACACTTCTTTTATCTAGAGTTATGCGGACACAATCTCAAAGTTGTTCATAGGGGTTGGGTGTAGAGCTAGCACTTAGACCTCCTCCAATACATTGATGATTAGGTGAGGTGCTAAGTGCATTAAAAGTCTTAGCAACTAATGTTCTTAATGCATTGGTGCTTAGCTTTTGCAGTTAAGCTTGCTTTACTTAATTGTTTAGCAACTAAAACTCCTTCGTGCATTGGTTGGTAGGATTTTGCATAGGTCCACGCTTTTAGCATTGTATCCTTCTGGGGTCACCACAATGCTCTCTCTCTCTTCTCTATAATTGCTTTGCCACATAAGAGCATCTGCCCCATGCCCGTCTCAAACGCCCGGGATGGGGGGACCGATCACTAACCGGTCACAAAAAATCGACCCACCCAGGCGCCTCAAACCAGCCTTAAACGTCTGGGTGTCCGGCATCCCTCATATCCAGCCCAAATATGGAGCAGGTATGGAGCGTCCGCCATGTCGAAGCTGATAGTCCCGGCCCACCAATCCCACGGCTGCCCCACAAAAAACCCCATCCGGCTCCTCGCTCGGAACCCTAGCTGAGTCACTCCCCTCTCTCGCTCCGTCCTCTCCTTTCCCCTCTATGATTTTGAGCAACGTAGGTGCAATGTCCAGCTCCGGCAGTCACACCGGCTCCGATCTCAACGTTGATGAGGAGCTGGCCCTCCGCATTGCCTTGGAACGGTCCAAGGTGGCCCGCTCCGTATATGTTTAGACTATCTATTTGACATTCGACTGTTTTTTAATTCGACAACAATCAAAAATACAGATCAATAAAAAATTGACACCTGTATGTCCCCAAAACCCTCCACCGTCTATCTATTTCTTAGAAAACGGGTCAGGTAAACTCTGACCCGCTTGAATGTAATGTACACCCTCAATGGACTTCAACACCAGGAAAGAAAAAGAACAAAAATGCTGCAGAACTGTTGTTTTCTCTTGTTGCTGCTGAACGGCGGTAACAGGGGGAATTTCATACTATTTAATTCTGACAAAGAAAAAGAAACAAAAATCATCAGAGTACCGGCATCTCCCAGGACCCTCGTTTAACTTGCATCACACAACTCGTCTGGGAGGCGCTATGGGAGAGGGGAAATGAGGAGAAGAAAGAGCAGAAAAACATCAAGGAGACGTCATGGGAGAGAGAAAGAGATAGAGATAGATAGATAGAGAGAGAGAGAGGAACAAAAAAAGGTTAGAGAGGCACAACAGAGGGGCAAGTACCTAGAGAGAATCAAGGGGGAAGAACAGATCCGTATAATTGGTGTAGGACAGAGGAAGATCATCCAAGACACGGTCCACAGCTCAGGAAATGTACTACTCCTCTTGATCAGACTTCCTTTGAACTCTTCCGTGTTTTTCCTCACCCTGCTTCTCTACATACACCTGCTACATGAACTAGTCTGCAGAAAAAAAAATCATACAATCTAGTGAAAATTTTGGAATCATCAGGGGAAAAAATTCTAACTGTCTGAAGGTAAAACTGTTAATATTTCACTGTCAAAACACTAAACCAACACAAATTCTAGTGTAATGTACACATGAAAAAAAAAATCTTTGATGCAGTACAAGGCAATGTAGGTAACATGAACCATGAGGAAATTACATGAAAAAAAGCATTGCTACAGTACACATGAAAAAAATCTTTGATACGATACAAGCCAATGTAGCTAACATGAACTCTGGGGAAATTATAGAGTTAGACAACTCATCACATTCATGGAAAAAATGAGATGAATTCTAGTGTAATACCTACATGACATACAATGCAAACTGGGGAAATATTACACTGTATTCTAGCATTATTCAATACAATTCAGAGATAATTTACAATGTAATTTTGGGGGATATTACAATATAAATCTGGGGCATATAACACTACAAATATAGTGGACATCACGGAGCAATTAAGAGGTATTACACTGTAATTTAAAGAGTTAAAATCCACTGTAAATTCAAGCAAAAGCTGAACAAAATAAGTACAGAGATACAGGCAAGTTCAGATGAAGTCGTGAATACAGAGATAGACCTATCAGCATAAAGAACACAAGTCCTATGAGATGAAGGCATTAGTATTAACAATGAAAAGCAGAGCTTGTTACAGTGCCGGTACACATGGACAGTGAAGGGAATGAATAATCACACAAGTGGATTACAATGATAATAAGTTAATAACCAAGTTACTACACATCATAATGACACAAAAAAGAGTTGAAATCCACTGTAATTCAGCAAAGCTGAACAAGAATGAAGCTCAAATATTAAGAAATACAAAAGGTTCAAAATGAAAATTACACTACTTTGTTCGGATTTTTTTAAATTACACCGAAATTCTAAGAAAAATTACACTATAATTACATAAATGAAGCATCAAATTTACACTGTAATTCTGGGAAAATTTACACTATAATTACATAAATGAAGCATGGAGTTTACACTGTAATTCTAGGAAAAATTACACCATAATTACAAAAAAAATGAAGCATTGGGATTACACTAAAATCTGGGCAAAATTACACTGGAATTCTAGGGTATTTTACACTGCAATTACAAAAAGAAAGCACGGGGATTGCAATGAAATTCTGGGATAAATTACACTATAATAATAGGGGCATACTACACTCTAATTCTGGGCTAATTACACTGTAATTCGTGTGAAT